GAATTTAAGGATTTCCAAACCTCCTCTCCGTTCCTCTTTCTGGCAAAGTAGCCCAGAGTCTAGGCTTTTCAGGGATCTATGTGGTCCTGAGGAAGGACTGAATTCAATTCTGGGATAACTTAAAAGATGATTTATTGAACTAAGAACAAAATATGAGGTTGGTCATTCTGTAACTGTTTAGGATAAAGGGACTGGTAAATATGTTGTTCAAATGTATCACACACGCGCAGCCTTTTCCCCCCTTTACTTTTGTTTGTTTTGACACTCAGTTCCAACCTTAACAGGATTCACTCTCTCCTTTAGAGTCAGCCACTCAGGCTAAGGACATATATACCCTCTTTGAGATCTCCCACAGAACTCATGAGGATCTCTACTGCGGGGCTGAAGGTCAGCCGTGGCAGCCATTTTGCGGCTGCGCCCACCACCCCGTATCACGATTCCAAAGGTGCCCACGGCGAGGCTCCCTCTAAGCTGCGGAGTCTTGTGAGCAAAAATTCTACTCTGTGAGCCGCTGACATTAGAGTTGTGAGCGAGCGATTGGGTTGCTGCATAGATTAGTTTGCTCTGGAGCCACCCCTTCCTGAGCTGAGACAAGACAAAATGTATGAGCCAGAGGCTAAAAAAAACTGTGAGCTAGCTCACACTCACTCAGCTTAGAGGGGAACATTGGCCCACGGGCTCATAAAGTTTGGGGAACCTGCCTAGAGCCTCCAAGAGAAAGGCACACTTTAAATGAATAACGTGAGTAAAAGGTAAAGGTTTCCCTTGCTCGAAAGGCTGTCGAGTCCGACTCTAGGGTTGCGGTGCTCATCTCCGTTTCAAAGCCGAAGAGCCAGCGCTGTCCGAAGACGTTTCCGTGGTCATGTGGACACTGGTCCACGGGCTCATAAAGTTTGGGGACCCTGCCAAGAGCCTCCAAGAGAAAGGCACACTATAAATGAATAACGTGAGTAAAAAATAAAGGTTCCCTTGCTCGAAAGCCAGTCGAACCCGACTCTAGGGTTGCGGTGCTCATCTCCGTTTCCAAGCCGAAGAACCAGCGCTGTCCGAAGACGTTTCCGTGGTCATGTGGCCGGCATGACTAGACACCAAGGCGCACGGAACGCTGTTCCCTTCCCACCGAAGCGGTACCTATTTATCTACTTGCAATTCCTTGCTTTCGAACTGCTAGGTTGGCAGGAGCTGGAACTAGAGACGGGGAGCCCACTCCGTCATGCGTCACACTCGGGTCTCGAACTGCCAAACGACCAACCTTCCACAGCCTGCAGTTCAATTACAAACTCCCTGTCCATGTGACAGGCCCTTCAGGTTGCTTGACCGATGACTGGGCAAAAGAGGTCATTCTCAATGGCAACTCACATACTGAGTCTAAATCAGCGGCACCCTCCTGGTCTAAGATACATAGCTCTAAAGTCCCAGGAAAGCTGCCTTTCCCATAAAACCTCCGTAGCAAAAGAAACGGGCCTGCCAATGACAATACATATTATTGTCATCAGACTATAATCTATAAAGCAGGGGTGTCAAACATGCGGCCCGGGGGCTGGATCAGGCCCCCGGAGGCCTGTGGTGGAACTGGCTGTCTTCTGCTTCTTCTTCCAGTTCTGCTGCTGCTGCGTCATCGGAGGTTTGCAGCTTACAGAGACACACACCTGAACAGCACACTCAGGATTGCAACAGCCCAGACATTTTGATGCAAGAATTCAGAGCAAGAGGTGTCGGTTATCAGACACGGTTAAACAGACAAATATTGCAAGAGGGCTAATGTTTTAAGCATGATTTTAAGTTAAAAAACCCCACCCTTTGTGTTTGTGTCCTTTATAAAGTTTATATCTCCGCTACCTGGCGTTACATTTTATGACACACACGGCCCGGCCCGACAAGGTCTCATTTATGTCAGATCCGGCCCTCGTACAGCAGGAGTTCATCACCCCTGCTATAAAGAGTGAGATCACAGATTAACTAAATGAAGGGGGAATGCTATAAACTTTCAGTTATGCTGAAGGCAGAAATACCACACTGAGTACTAGCGAAGAGCCAGAGTCCAAGAGCACCTTAAAGACTAACAACATTTGCAGCAGGGGAGGAGCCGTCGTGAGTCACGGCTCACCTCTTCAGACACTTCGGAAGATTCTTCAGATCACGTCTAGAATTCTGGAGTATTTTATCAGAAAGGAACTACAGCCGCAATGTGCCGGATTGTACACCAGAGGGCAGCAAAGATTCAAAGGTAATCCATGCTGTCACGGAGCACCTGCTTGGCATGTAGAAGGTTCCAGGTTCAATACTGCACATGCCAGTCGAGTCCGACTCTAGGGCTGCGGTGCTCATCTCCGTTTCAAAGCCGAAGACGTTTCCGTGGTCATGTGGCCGGCATGACTCAACGCCAAGGCGCACGGAACGCTGTTACCTTCCCACTGAAGTGGTACCTATTTGTCTACTTGCAATTTCTTGCTTTCGAACTGCTAGGTTGGCAGGAGCTGGAACTAGAGACGGGAGCTCACTCCATCATGCGGCGCACTTGGGTCTCGAACTGCTGAACTACTGACCTTCCACAGCCTGCAGTTCAGCGTCTTAACCACTTGAGCCACACCCTTTAGGACTTTACAAAACCAAACCACTACAGTCCTTCTTTCAAGGTGGACTTGAATGTATGGAACTGTTACTCGGAAGGGGGAAAAAGCAAAACCCCCCCCTCCGAATGCATCTACACCAGGGGTCCCCCAACATGGTGCCCACGGGCAACATGGGGCCCACCAACACTTTCCTGATGCCCATCGAGTGCTTTTAGAAAGAGGGCAGAGATGTATGGGGCTCTGGACCAGCAGGTCTCCGGGGCTGTGCATATTAAAAGGCATCGTGTTAAACAGAGTTTTTGCCTGGAGTGTTTATTTATTTAATTAAAAGCTGAAGAGTTACTATTTGAGTTACACAAAGTTTGAGTTCTGTGGCACCTTTAAGACCAACAAGGCAGTGGGTCCCCTTCCTCGAGTGCAATGATCTGGCTTCAGAGATCCACGCGATGGTCACCTCGAGGCTAGACTACTGTAATGCTCTCTACATGGGGCTGCCCTTGGGGCAACTTCGGAAGCTGCAGCTGGTGCAAAACGCGGCAGCCAGGTTGTTGATGGGTCTCCCCAGGTGGGAGCACATCCAGCCTGTGCTGAAGTTATTGCACTGGCTTCCAATAGCATTCCAGATTTGCTTCAAGGTGCT